GCCTCCCGGCCGCCCCAGGCGTCGGGGCCCCCCGAGGCGGGCCCTGGGTCTGCGTCGAACTGTGCTTCTGGCGGGGTTTCGCTCCTTCTTCTCAAAGATGAAAGAGGGCACGGTCGTCTTTGCTGCTTCTCCAGGACTGTTGCTGCCTCCGCCGCCGCTTCATTGCACATTCAAGTGGAAAATTTTCAGGAGTCAGCAGAAACATTGTGTCCAAAAAAGACTGAGTCGCAGTTACCACCAAACCCTGGAGGAGACTCTCCCTGGAAAACTTCCCTTCGGTAGGAAATACTGGGGGATTTGTTTGTTTATTGGAAGAGAAATGATCCCCAGAAGGGGAGAAAATCAGGGTTCACTTCTAGTCTTTGTTCGTAGCAGCAACACTTGTTTTCAAAAGTCCGGAGGCCCGCTTTAAAGAAAGTTCAACTTGTATGAGTTTCCTTTTTAAAAAACTGTATTTTTTTTTTAAAACTAAGGCAACATTTTAAATGAGTTGAAACAATAGAGGGCTCACACTTCCCTTATTCTCCTCCCACGAAAAGAAATAAAACCCAGATCATAATTTTCTTTGCTTTTTAATTCTTTTAAAAGATTTATTTAAAGTTGAATGGTGTCACTGTATAAAAATATTTATGAAACAATGAAATACCAGCCACCAGCATTTCTCAGAAGGCTTGTTAACTTCTCAGAAGCAAGTGGCTGCCTGTGATTTGCAGAAATGAAAATTGACCCCAGTAAGTACTGGAAACTTAGAGACAGATGATGTTGCGAGAGCCGGTAATGTAAAAAGGCCGTGTTTTAAAATCAGTGCCTTGGAGGAAGCCCAGGTCCTGGGACAGAAAGGTCTGCAAAACCTATCAGATTTCAAAATAGTGTTGAAAAAATTAAAAATGCTATGGATATTGCAAAAGATCAGAACCCTTTCAGTTCAGGACAACCACATATTTCTTCCTCGCCACCTTTCACTGTGATTGTTTCTGAAAGTTGAGGTGGTCTGATGGCTTGTGTGGAGCTGGGTGCCTGCAGGTGGTTACCTGAGTCGACACATCTTTTCAGGAAGATGCGATCTCCCTGCATTGTCAGAGTAGTGAGTGGGCTTCTTTTCTGCAACCTGCTGTGGATCTTGCTTGTGTCTTATTCAACGGGGGGCTTCTCTGCTAGGGTACTCTGAGGCAGGCAGTAGCTGGAGAACAGAACTAAGGCTGTGCCCAGTGATTGGTTCATCCTTTCATTGCTGGATTTTGTGCCCTTCTGTAAATAATAGCAGGATCTTTGGGCCCAAACACATCTGAATGCTTATAAGGGCAAGACTTAGATTTAACTTTGGTAATAATCTTTTCTCTTTAGGAGGAAATAGTAGCACTGGTTACAAAGTGACTCAAGAAATGGATTAGTTGAACCTTTGTCAACAGCGAGGTTTTGAATTGTTGATTATTTTTTGGGGGAAAGGCTTATTTTTCTAATTTCACTATTTCCATAAATGGTCACAGATATTTTTGTTTAGCATTTCTTTGTACGCGCAACTGTGTTGAACTCTCAGGTTTCAGGTTTTAAACGGAGTTTACAATTCTTTTATTTGTTGTTGGTATAAAAATGAACTGATAAGCTGTATCCTTTACTGGTTCTTGCTGATGGTACAAAAGTGCCAATGTAGACCATTTTATTTTTACTTAAATGATAAATATTATTTGATCCGCAGTTTTAGAGGAATATTAGAATACCTTTTCTTTCTTTCTTTCTTTCTTTTTTTTTTTACAAGTCTGAAACAAACCCGGTGTGACACTTTGCCTTGACAGTAAGAGTATAAAAATAGTATAGGAAAGAATCTTTGTTTGGAGTCCTCCTCTGTGTGATCTTTTATAAAGTAACAAATAGAACTCAATTCAGAGAATATGACTGAGAGATTATTAGAGTTTTTATCCCTCCCAAAAAAACATAAACCAGGACTCACCATGGCATATATTTAATGAAATTTAAAAAGAGTGGGCAACTTAGCTTAGTTTGAGCCAGATTGAGATGAATTTCTCACTGAGAGGCGCTTCCTTGCATTGTGGTACAGTGTGTGTCTGGGCCCCAGCAGCAAACTAATTACACATAAGGAAGGGTTGAGGAGTGTACAGCCTGGGGGAAGTCAGCTTCCTCCTTTCTTTCCCTCTTCTTCTCTATCCCTCTTTTGCTTTCTACAGCAACAATTATATATTCATACACTCACTTTGGGGACTGACATCCCTTTTCTTTAGAAAAAGGACAAACAAGTCATAAGGAAAAACAGTGTTCTGTTTTTTTGCTGCTTGAGCTTTAGTCATTTATAAACAATTCTGAATTTTGCTGGCTCTGACAATGCAGAACAGCAAATATAAGAGAGCATTTCTTACTGAGAAAAATTGGGGAGAATATATCTATCATCTGTGTGTAGATCATATTTGTCACATTTTTAGTAAAAGAGCATGTAACAGGAACAGTCGGAATGTAGATCCCAAATGTTAGATAGGCTTTTGAAGAAATGAGCTGTGCCATTAACAATATTTTAAGGTTCCTTGCTTCAAAAATGGATTGTTATCTCATACATGGTGGTTGTACAAGAGCCTGCACATCTGTGGGATTACTCCTCTCTAATCTCATGCGCTATTATGTGTTAATTGTGAGCATGATGATACTGCCTGCACATGAAAATTGTGCTTTTTCTCTCAGAAGGTTGGTGCAAATAACTGCATGTATGATCTAGTGTACATAGAACAACCACGTTCACATACAGATAGTACGTAGATAACACTTTTAAGCTTGTACTTTAGGCACTTTGTCTTGTTTCCAGTAAAGAGATTGCAAAAGAATCAAAAAAAAAATATTGCTGAGTGAAAGCTGTGCTTAGAGGTTGGATCTGTTCAGTGATAAAACTTTGGGGGCCTGTTTTCTCCAAAGACTGAAGAATGCTGGCAAGAACAAGTGTCCAGCTTTCTCTGTAGAACCACAGGGAAATCAGAGACCACCTTTCTGTTGATAAATGCGGGTATTACAGCTTTCCCTTTAGAGTTCAGTGATTGGAACAGTAGAGTGCTAGTGTCCTACTTCTGAACTCGGCAAGAAAAGTATATTGTAAGCTTTTTACCCTTTGACAAACTTAGGCTTTGCTGCAAAGCTATTGAAGACTGACTGAGGGCTGGAAAAATCTTTTATAGCTGCACAGTGCTTTTTCTTATTTTATCTGTAGAAGCCACAGACTACCCTGTGGTATTTAATTTAGATCTCAAACCATGTTTGAACAATACATGTGATGTATTTTATTCTTTCATATTCACAAAATTGATAATATCAAGTAATGTTCATCTTAAGCATTTAATGTTTCAGAGTTCGGCTTTTTGACAAATACTAGGTTAGACCCTCTTGTGTTGCAATTTACTAGATACTTATGAAATCAGGGAGGTTCAGGGCCTTCCCTATTCTGGGATAGTTTTTGGAACGCTAGAATATTTGGATCTAAATAAAAGCTGTGAACTATTGAGAGTCCGTAGTCTGTAACGTACTCTTCACAAGCTTTCTTGACCATATCCTATATTTGAACTCACAGTTGAAATTCAGCCATTTCTTCAGATACATTTGGGCTTTGTAGTGGTGCAGAATAAGAGAATTTCGATGTATGTATTTTTATTTTAGTCAAAGCAAATGAGATGCCCAGAAGGGTGGATTTTCAGGATGGTGTTTCTTACAGGGTGGCTCACTCACAGCTCTTAAGTTCTCCTTTTGTCCACTGTTTTTTGGCATGGTTGGAAGGATTCTCAAAAAAATAGTTTCCATAGTCTGGGAGTTCTGGCTAACTGTGAAACCATTGGTTTCTCTTCTGATTGGATGGGGGGTAGGGGGGGCAGATGTCTTAAGAGGCTGTCTTTTCTACTTTTGTGGCAGGCCAAGGGAAGGCTCTATGCTGGTTGTGTTATGAGTCTCCACTCCCCCGCTCCCGCCTCAGTATTTACTATCCTGATGCAATGCTTTCTGCCTTTTTTTCACATTAGTTTTAAGGCTCTGTCCTAGAATTTCATTTGCAGTTTTGGTTTAAAGGACAGAGCCCAGCATTGGAAAATGGGTTTAAAAGAAAAAGCCAGCTTATCGAAGAACAATTTAAGCCACTGTTGTCTCCACTGGGAAATTCTGGTTGCTTTTAGGCATCTGACAGGTTTAGCTGTATGTGTAAAGTGACTGAAACACTACTGACTGGGAATACACAACAATGACGAGTGCTGTTGTTTTTACTGATATATAAACTGAAAAACTGCTGCTAATGGTGGGAAATGTTAATTATGTGAGAACATATTGAACTTATATTCTCTGGCATGAACTTTAAAAAAAAATATGCATGAACTGCGCTGCTTTTTTATAGGCACAGCTTTCTAATTATCATAATTCAGTTCAGCTCCGCTCTTGGATGGAGTTCAAGTGCAATCTCGATTTAACTTGAAAGGAGATTTTTCTTTTTACACCGAGAATGTTTAAGAAAATTTGAAAAGTTCATCCAAGAATGCTTTCCGTTTAGGTGTGGGTAATTTGGGGGGATGAAATGAGTGCCTTTATGTAATAGTTAACTAGATCTGAATATTAAGAAAAAGACTTATTTTTTTTGTGCTTTGCACCTATGCAAACCTGTTTCTTGTGCATTTTTGCATAACCAGGTGTTATGTGTTGCCGAGTTCTCTTTGAAAACTGGAGTCCTTTCCCTAATATTATAGTAAACTTTAAAACAATGAATTATTATCATCAATGACATCTGCAAAGATAGGAACCTTTTTAGAGAAAGTAGAAAGAAAAAAATTTAGAAATCTTATGAATTCATTTGACAAAAATCACCATTAATCTTTTATACCAACCAAGCCTTTAGAAGGTGATCTCCTTATCTGGTCATCTTTACACTTTGACTTGATGGCATTTTGTGAAGGGAGTTATCTTTGACAGCATTCATTCCAGTGTCCAATGTCCTTTAAATTTCCTGTGACCTTAGTTAGTGTCTTTACAAAGAAAAAAAGTTAATGAAGCCCAGGCGCCAAATCCTCTGTGGAATCAGTTTTAATTGGAAGAAAGAACAACTTCAGCTGGACCTTCCGACTTTCGTCTGGTCTGACTTCTACTGCTAGAATGCAAAGGGAGCCTGCGGAAACCAAATGACTTCATTTGCTCTGGCACTTCAGAGCCGAATTCACTTCCATGGTGGTGAAATAAAAGGAGCCAAGTGTTTTAAATAGCCACTCCCCAAGGCCTGCCCGCCCGAGTGTTTTGAGAAAAGCGCATTGTCTGC